CACACACACACACACACTTTAATAGGTGTCGCATGAGTGGAAAGTGTAAAACCCCTAAACCCATTTAATGGATTGCGTTGGCGCAATCAAGGTGAATGTCTCCACTGCTGACAACGAAAGCAATAATGCTTGATTGATTTACTGCAGAGAGGGTCACAGTAGTGGCATCACCAACTCAAATTTGATGGCTGAAGACGTGCCACATGTGCAGGATAGACCAAAAGCGGCTCCTGTGATGGTTTAAATCATAATTCTGACTCAATCCCACTTTACCGCCTTTTCATGCTCATGTTCTGACTCAACTATTACCCAATTTGGTGCCGATTGATTTCCAAGGTCAAGGCATTTTAAGATAAAAAGGCCCGGGTAAAAATTGTGTTTAGTCTTGTAGCCTTAAAGAATCATGAAAATATCAAAATGAGATACCTCAAAATATCGGTTACATAAACTTTTCGACTTGGATATTAGGAGGATGAGATCCCTCACGGTAACTCTGTTTTTGCATTCATCGTGGTTTCATTAACTTTACTAGTCAGTAAAAGAGCAGGGCTTATCATTTTTTCCCAGAAATGCATTCATTAACTCCTTACTTCCTGAATCGCTCTTGGGTACGATTTAGAGTAGACAGCTGCCTTCTGTCAGCCCCATCTACACACGCACACAGAGAAAAGAGCGAGGGGTATTGAGATAATGCCAGGAGGGAGACGCTTTCTGCTTTGTTGTTCTCTGTCATCACGACTCCCCATCTCCTCTTTCCGGTCCTCACTGCGTGGTCTCCTCATCGATCAAGATTTTATCTCTCGCAGAGCAGCGGAAATCACAATTCTCTCTCTCTCCTCAACCCTCTCACCGTGTCACAAATTGTGATTGCAGCTGCAGATGCATCACAACTGCCATCATTGTCATCATCCCGTGACAGTAACTGTAGAAGCTTGGGGTAGAACTCCCGATCCTCTCCTACCCACGTGCTGTCAGCTGTCATGGGGAGGCATGGCAACGGAGGGAGGTAGTAGAAATGAATGCTGTCACAGGGAACACCAGCAGACGGTGGAAGAGGAGGAGGCCGCTGAAAAGAGGATGGGAGGGGGAGGAGGATCACATTCATTAACTCGATGCCTCGGGGAAAAGGGTGGCGGGAGGAGGACGAAGAGGAGATGAGGGGAACGAAGAGGTGTGAGGGTGGAGAGTGATGGTGGACTGAATGAGCGGGCAAATTAATTTTTCCTCACTGACTATTTTCGTGTTCACTGTTAATTTAGACTATCCTGAAAATGTGTGCTTGCGAGTTCCTTCTACTCGTTTGTCGATTGGCACTGCCATTGCTGATGCGGATGCTCACGCTTCCATTTTTTACATCTTTGTCACCATTTTTTATTGAAAATCACAATTTTGTGTTTGAGTGGTAGATGTGTACGTGTCTCGATTTGTAGGGCGGTCACTCAAGTGACGCGATTCGTTACAATCACCGACTAAGTTGTAGAAATCAGTATTCCGATCTCCATTTACGATCTCCAGTCTCATACTTGCTTAACTCGAATACCTTCGTAAGGCAATATGTGTACGGACGTGGATCGCTATCCTCTATTAAGGTAGAGTTTCCTTCCTATTTTAGGTTTATTAATGCGAGAAGACGAATTGTCCAGCCGATGATTGATCAATCCAACCGATCAGGTAGGTAGTGTATCTGCCATTCCGATCCACATGCACAAAACCCCGAATTACTTTATTTTTGTCCTACTCTGATATAGTTCAACAGTGAGGTTTAGTTAAGCAGAATTTTTTTATATTTCTTCATTAGGCTTTCAAAGCCGGTTCTTTGCACATGGCAAGAATTTTTATGTAAATGGCAAGCAGAGGGCCACTTGCAACATGCATTCACTTGTAACTTCAGTCGATTTCTTGGTCATTCATAATAATTTGAATTCACAAGATATAGCGATGAGTAGTTGGTCAAATTATGATTGTTTCCTGCATTTGCCACAATAATTAATTGAAGGGCCCTATCTACTGATTCAACCATTTCAGTAATATCCCTAGTAATACAACTATTAATAAAAAATGCGGATGGAAGCCTAGTTCCCGAAGGGACGGGAAATTGTCCCAGTCTTTCCTGCAATGAATGAACAGCTTGAATGCATGAATGTTTTTTTACCGGTGGTAAATTTATGGCTTAATTTGGCGACAGCCATCTAGCTGTCGGGTACGATGGAACAGTTCCTTACCAAACACCAGCCAATGTTTGCCAAAAAAAATTTTAGACGGATTTAACTAAAACGACAACATCATGCCTCACCTTCAGTTTGCGATTTAATGGCACTTTAGTCTTTGGCTAAGTACCTCAA